GGTCCCAGGGATGTACCTGGGGGTCCCAAGGACGTCTGGGGGTCCCAGGGATGTACCTGGGGGTCCCAAGGACGTCTGGGGGTCCCAGGGATGTATCTGGGGGTCCCAAGGACGTCTGGGGGTCCCAGGGATGTATCTGGGGGTCCCAATGATGTACCTGGGGGTCCCAAGGACGTCTGGGGGTCCCAGGGATGCTGGGGGATGCACTCGGGGGTCCCAGGGGTGCCTGGGGGTCCCAGGGGTGCCTGGGGGTCCCGGGGATGTCTGGGGGTCCCGGGGGTGCCAATGATGCGTCTGGAGGTCCCAGAGGGCTCCCAGCGATGCCGAGGGATGCTCCCGTGCTTCCCACGAGTGCCGGGGGCCCCGGGGTGCCGGTGGGGCTGCGGGGATGTCCCGGCAGAGTCCCGGTCCCGCCGGTCTCAGCCCGTCCCACCCCGCAGCGCTGCCTGCACCGGATCCGCCAGGCTCTGCAGCACTACCGGGACCTGCTGGGCTCCGACGTCTTCCGGGAGCAGCCGCAGCCGCAGCTGGAGACGGCGATGGAGCAGCTGCTGCGCCACGTCCCGGTGAGCAACCGGGGGCTCACCGGGGGCTCACCGGGGGGGTCACCGGGGGGGTCACCGGGAGGATCACCGGGGACTCACCGGGGGGATCACCGGGGACTCACCGGGGGCTCACCGGGGGGATCACCGGGGACACACCGGGGGCTCACCGGGGGGGTCACCGGGAGGATCACCGGGGGCTCACCGGGGGGGTCACCGGGAGGATCACCGGGGACTCACCGGGGGGATCACCGGGGACACACCGGGGACTCACCGGGGACTCACCGGGGGGGTCACCGGGAGGATCACCGGGGGCTCACCGGGGGGATCACCGGGAGCTCACCGGGGACTCACCGGGGGCTCACCGGGGGCTCACCGGGGGAGTCACCGGGGGCTCACCGGGGACTCACCGGGGAGCCCGGCCCCGCCTCGCCGGGCGCACGGGCGGCGCTCAGCCCCGCCGTGACCGCGCTGTCCCCGCAGGACGGGCACGGCCGAGTCCCCCGGGACCCCCTGGCGCCCACCGAGCGCTGGGAGCAGCCGCTGCGGCGGCACCTGGCCCTGAAGCGGCTCCGCTCCTTCGCCGCCCTCATCGGCCGCGTCTTCAACCACGGCGCCCGCTGAGCCCCACCGGACACCGCCCGCCCCCTCCCCTATTTATTGCCCCTCTGCCGGGGGTTTATTTATCGCGTGCGACGCTTCTTTATTTATCTTTATTTATACGTTTCTAATAAAGGTCGGATGGAGACGAGCGAGCGCCTCCTGCGTGCCGGGGGG